AGACAGACAGACAGACAGACAGACAGAGACAGAGAGAGACAGACAGAGAGACAGAGAGTCTTCTGCTCTTCCATGTACTTTACTACCTTGGGGAATAACAGATGGGCTGATATGAAAGACACAAGTAAAATATTTATGAAAGGCAAAGCAATTGGGATAGTAAACTCATAAAACAATAATTTCCTCTACTATAGTCAGCAGCTTGTGCAAAAATGAGAATATTTTTACATAATAAAATGCACAGTGAAAGCTGCAGATGAAACCCTAAAACAGAAGCAGAAACATGCAAAGCAGAGCTTCCTTCGACACCCTGAAAAGGGCTTAGGGAGAGAGAAGCCGGCAGTGCCTCGTGGATTCTTCTGGCTGCTGTTACTCCTATAAGAAAAACTATTCTGTTCCCCCCACGGTCAGGCCTGCTGCGTAGGGCTTTCGCCATGTGCCCTGTGGACAGGGAGGGAGGCCGGGCCCCTAACGCCCTCTAGAGTGAGGTCCACGGGGTGGGCATTAGACAGGTTTGCAGGCCCTGTCATTCCTACCTTGGCAAAATACGCCTGGTCTTTTAATTTGGAGGCAGAGGCTCCAAAGACTATGGCTCAACCCAGTCTCCGCTGCAGTCTCGGAGCATGGCTGTGAGGGCGTAGGATGGGCGCAGAGGACCCAGGGCGGATGTGACAGAGGCGCCTGCACCCTGCCCCCTCCTAGACATCCTGACCCCATTGCTCTTGGGTCTGGAAATGAAAGCACTGCCCAGAAATGCCAAACGAACTTGCTCCCAGAGGACAGCACAGTCTGCAGAGCCCGAGGCTTGGCTGGCCTCTCTGCGGCAGTGGATGGTCGCCCCTCCACGTGGCTTGGAAACAGGAAAGTTCACCTGTCCCCAGCAAGCTGTGCCCAGGCTTTCCTGCGCAGACTTCTTCTCACACCATCCCAAGCGTCCCTTGTTCCTCAAAACACGAATATTCGGATGATCTTTAGACAGGATCTGCTCTGTGCCAGCAATAGGCACATAAAGAAACAGACAGCGACGCCTCAGCATGCTTGCTGGTCAAGATGTACAGGCGAGCACAAGTAACAAGAAGGGGCGGCTGCACGAGGGCCGCGCTGCACTGAAACCACAGTGTACTGGAGCAGCTGGCCTGGCTCCCACAGCAGTGCCGCCGCCGCCCGGAGTTCAGAGGTGCATGAGGAGGCGCAGGCGTGTGGTAGGAGAGGACAGTCCTGGAGCAGCGCAGGAGAAGCCACGGGAGGGCGCAGCTCCGTGGCAGGGCTCAGAGCGCAGCACCCTGGGTGTCCGTGGGCCTGAGGCCCAGGCTGCCCGCCTCCCCTGCAGGATGGAGATGCAGGGCCAGGAGTGCCTGACGTGGCGCAGTCACAGAACACCTGCGGGACTCCACAGTCCCGCAGCACGCCTGCTGTCACCTCTCCACCAGTCTCTGCTGAGAGGTCCTCGTTCTGCCACGTTGCTTAGGGAGCCCACGAGGGAAAAATCTGCGCGTGCTCTGCCCAGACATGTTCTCTGAGAGCTGTCTGCCTGTGGCTGGCTATGGTCTCCTGGCTGTGCAGAAAAGGAGCGTTCAGGAGGAAGCGCAGAGCCAGGTGCCGGTAGGACAGCGTTGCGGTGCTCAGGACAGCGCGGCTGGCTGGGCCCCGCTGCCTGGGCAGGGCGAAGCACCCAGCTGTGAAGACGCGGTTGCGTGGACCTCGTGACAGGTCTGACGTCGGGAGGACAAAAGCGTGAAGCATATGCTGCCGCCTTTGGGGCTGGGCAAGACTGTGGTAAGCGGGAAGGCCAGTGGGGAGCAGGTTCTGGGACCGGAGCTCTACCCTGTGCAGGGACTCTGTCCATGAAACTCCGAGCCCAGGGCCCCGCAGGCAGGCAGACCCGGGGCTGCGGGAAGACTGCACCTTGCGGCCGGCCTCGGGCCTCGGCGGCCAGGGCCCCATGGTGGGAGCTGCCCTTTGCCTAACTCTCTCCCGCCCTCCATGGTCTTGGCAATGACACCAGAATTCAATCGAGCCTAGACTTTGTAAAGAATGAAATAAAGTCCTCATGTGTGGGTCATTTTACAGCCACTTTCCATCAGGCATTTGTCCGGCATAGTCCATGTTTAAATGTCTTTATTATAGAAGTTTCAGAATATGCAGCTTCCCCGCCCTCCAGGATGGCACGGCTGTTCGCAGACTCAGTGAAGGAGCCTGAAGCGCACAGCGGAGCCGGGCGGGTGGGTGGGCGGGCGGAGACTGGTGCAGCCTCCCACCCCACACACCCGCTCAGAGTGCAGGCAAAATCCGGGGCTCGTAGTCCCTGGGGGCGGCCCGAGGAAAGGCTTCAGCGCCCAGAAGATGGTGCGTTCCCCCGCCTGGCACATCATCTCCATCCCAGTTACTGCTTTGTGTTTAAAGTATTCCTGTGCTAAATGCAGTTCTATGGGACGGGAACACACCCAGTACCCGAGTGCACACTTCGGCATCAAATTAGCTTGTGAGTCCTTAAGGACAGGCTCGGGTCTCAGTGCATCCGGTGGTGGTCGGTGGCCCTGAAGCCCTGGCGTCTGCCGGAGAGGTCGCGGACACACGCAGAGACCCGGAAGGCGGCGGAAGTTATCTTCCAGCCTCGCCTGGTTGTGGCTTCCAGCGCACGGCCAGTGAGGCTCCTGGTTTTGTATACATTCAGTGAAAAGAAAGACCAGTGACGGCAAAGTCATTAAAACGTTCGTGCAGCTGGATCGCTCGTAGAACCCAAACTACACCAGGAGGCCCAGAGCTAAAACTTGTTTCTGGTAAAGCTGAGTGTCGTAAAAGAGTGAGTGTGAGCACTCCTGTCACCGTGCTAGCCCTGCTGTCTGCCGTCACAAATAAGGATGCTACCCTTTGGGCTAGGGTTGGGGTGGGGGTAGGGTCAGGCTCAGGATTAGTCTGCTAAGAACCTGAGTGAAATCAAAGCCCTCCGCCTGCAGCCCGCACTGCTGTTCCCTGATGCTGTCTCCAGCCAGTCCCAAGGAGCAGAGTGCACAGAGCTCGCGGGAGAACAACACTCACGGGCCTTGAGACCGCTAACTCATTTAACAGATTATAAAGCTTTGCCGTGGACCTTCAGCTCCGCACGTGGCACTCTGGCCAGTTCGTGGATTATCACAGCTGACCCTGAGACTTCCTCCAGCAGGCCCTGCTGTGCGCGCTCTGCGCGGCGCTGGACCAGTGTGGAAGTGCGTACTAACGTGCACGATGGTGAGCAGGACATACCCAGAAACTTGACATGCAGCGACCAGGCCAAGTTAAAGTGGGTTTTGACCATAACTTGCACCCGTGCGGTGTCCTTCCTGCACGGCCACCTAACCACCTCCTGTCACTCTGTCTTGCAGCTTCCGCCAGCACCTATGTCCCCACGGTGTGCAACGGGCGCGAAGTCCTGGACTCCACCACCTCCTCGCTGTGACCTGCCTCCAGGCAGCCCTTGTTCTCAGACTGTCGGTCACACATGCCCGCGTGCAGCTCCAGAACGCAGAGATGGAGTGAGAAGACCCTGGACCTTCTTAGAAGCAGTACATAAATTATTTTTGAGGACTGTAACGTGATGTGCTAGGACTTTCTAGGCTGATTTTAGTGCCCCTACTACTAACGGTTCCCCAGAACACAGAAATAACCACTGTTTACAGAGCTGAGCTTTGGTGACAGGGTCTGACAGCGTCAGTCTACTAAAAACTACGGTGGCAATATTAGGTAACTTTTTTTCCTATCAAGTTTTGTAGGTTCTTGTTGTAACTAACTTAGGACGAGTTTCTATGTTGTACATTAAAGTTACATTCTGTGTAACAGACTGTTTTTCTGAGCACAAAATAAAAATCAAATGTATTAATGTAAAGACATTGGGAATAAAACCTTCCAGGATTTCCAGCATGGGGGAAATGTTTGTCTTTTGTGAGTCTCTCAGGGTAACATGGACCCTGCCAGTCATTTCTCCTTTTGGTTTTGGAAGGATTGCCCATGCGTACCCCCTCCCATCCACACGAGCCTGGGCTGGAGGGGGATCTGGACTTCGTCACAGGTCACAGAGGCCAGGTAGCAGCTGGTGGCACCGCTGTGGCCCCAAACACCCTTCACAGGCAGGAGCTGGGACAGTGTCCCATCCCACACAGGAAGCGCTCCCCACCCAGCCAAGTGACAGTCCCAGGAAAAGCATGCAGGCACACAAACTTGTCGTAAAATGTTTCACTTACTCAAATAAGAGAAAATCTAAGAAGTGTGGGCTAAAACTGGATTATTTTTACTAATTCTGTGCTATTTCTATCAACATTTTAGTAGCTTTTCTTTTTCTTTTTTTTCATCTTTTTGAAACAGAGTTTCACTATGCAATTCAGGCTGGCCTTGAACTTGCTTTATAGCCCAGGCTGGTCTGTAACTCACAGAAATCCTCCTGCCTCAGCCTCCTAAGTGCTGGAATAACAGGAGTAAGCCACCACACCCAGCTGCAGATCACTTATTAACGTAGGAAAAGTTACTGAGAACACATGTGTCAGGTCTCGTGTCAGGCTCCATGGCCACATTATGTAGCTTCCGATTGCTGATGGAAGAAAAACACCACAAACTGTGTGGCTTAAAAACCAAAAGACGCATTTTCTCTCAGTTACAGAGGCCGGAAATCTGAAAAAGGCCTATAGGGCCGTGCTCTCGGCAAGCCCAGAGGAGCCTGTGCGTCCCTCCTGCAGGGTCTGGGGGGGCCGCCCCACTGTGCTCACACTGCTCCCAACCATCTTATCTTCGCCAGGTTCTCTCGTGAGTGTCCAGAAAGGACACTCATCAGTGGGGATTTGGTGCTCTCTGTGATAACCGAGGACAAGCTCATCTCCACCCTCCTTTAAGCAAAGTCCTTCCCCCAAATAAAGCAACATCCAAAAATCAACGGACAGGTACACAAAAGCCCGCAGAGCCAGGCCCGGAACACGAAGGTGTCAGCTGCATTTGAATCCACAACCGCGTCCACCCGTCCAAAGCCCACCGCGTGGTGGGGCAATGGTGTCCTAGTTCCTGAGTTGTCTTTTTCAAACAGGAACCTGGGGCTGGGGGAGTGAGCGGGCAGGTCGGGTAGGAGATCCATGGCACTAAGCAGCAGCAGTTCCTCTCCCGAGGCTGCACCTGCAGGAAGAACAGCTGAGCACGTGGAGCCAGCGCCTGCTCGGGGCAAGGCAGGGAGTGGCTGCAGGGGGCGGCAGGGCTCGGGCTCGGGCTCGCGCGGGCAGCAGATGGTGGCCAGCCAAGACGACCTGCAGCCCTTCCCGCCAGACTGGGTATGGGTGGGGAGGTCACGTCAGGTCTGGGCGGGAGTTGGGCTCTGGCCGGGATGCCGCGCCGCGCTGCACGCTGAGCAGGTGCCAGCCCTCAGCATTTCCTCCTTCGTTCATGCGCACCTTGTTTCTGATTTGAAAATGCATCGTCTAACTGGCGAGCTCGAAACTAATCTTCACAAACATTCACATTTCCCCTCCCTCCCTTCTGCTCCCCCTTCCCATCCAACAGGATCTCCCAACTTCCCAGTTCCCGTCTGCCGGTGGCTCTTTATTACCCTGTGGAGTTCTCACGGAAACAGAAAAAATCATTCAATATTTAAACTTGTGTACAGGAAAATAGCCACTGCAGTTTTTTTTATTTTACATAAGCCATTGAAAAAACACGTCTGCTTTTTTAGAACAAAAATAACATTTCGTTCTTCTAGAATATAGAAGTGGTTGAGCTGATCCATTTTTGCAAAACTTCCTTCCTGAGTTTAAGAGACCCTGGCTGAATGATGTGTCTCATTCACTACAGCACACACATTAGAATCTAACTACATGCTCAGTTATCCTCGATTTTGGAGTCTTTGTAGATCTCGGGGTGTCCCCTGTCCTCACCGGCTTAAATACTATTTTCCTGCCCATCAAGTCTGTGCAACAAAAGAAGCAGTTGTGATCTTTAAATTGTGAGGACTCGGCTGGAGGAGCACACAGAGGACAGAGATGCGACGGCTGGCGCAGAGCCTAACTCAGCCTGCGCTTCGTCTGCACGCCCACATCGCTCCTGGCGAGTCCCTGGCTTTGTTCATCCGTCCAGGCACCGGCTCTGGGCTCCAGAGAGTGCCAAGCAAGGGCTATGAGCACACAGAAGCCAATGAGCATGAGCTGCCGGGAAGCTGGGTCATGAGCAGAGAGCTGAGGACAGCAGTCCTGACCCACAGATAGGCAAGGTCTGTGCTGGTCCCTGACAGTCAGGTCTGCACTGTTCTCACTGGCTTAACTTTTATTTGAAATGCAGTATAGATGATGTGAAATTAGTTACCTGAGATAACAGAAGCAATGCCCCCTCCAACCAAGTCTACCAAATGTTACAGCCTACTTTAGGGCCCTCCTTCCAGGAGTTATTAGTAAGATAAAGAAAATTCCCCAAATACAAGCTTTCATGAGACAGTAGGTTCAAGGACACCAAAGCTGTTTCTTGAACCACCAATCAGGAAAGACTTCCTAAACATCTTTCAAAGTTCTTTAAGTATTAAAATAGGACTTGGCCAAAATTAGAGAAAAAGAAGGGCTGCAAGGACAGCCAACATTTTGGCCCTAGCCTTTCAAGGTCAGTGCGGACTCAGGACATAGAAGAACCTGTATCGTAACATCCTGTAACTCAGTTGTGTCCCAAATTTCCTGATCAAGGAGATTATGGGGCCACAGAGGAAAGTGATCGATGATGTAGTGTCTAAGGAGAGTCATAGGGAGAGAAAACATTCTCTCAGGCTTTCACAGAGAGCAAATTGGTTAAGCAATGGCTGTGACTCATCCACATGGCTGATGCTGACAAAGGATCTACAAACTGTGGTACAGGGTTTCAGGGTAAATCCTGAGGGGATTTGACTGACCTTGTCAGATACAAAAGTTATGTTTTTTGTTATATAGGTCTTACTTTAGTCTTGGTCTTAACCATCTAACAGAAAAGTATAAAAATGAGGTATAAAACATAAAGCCATATTAATATGCTGAGCTCTAAAAAGCTCGTCAACAACTTCTGACATTGCCAGTGCTGTGGATAACCCACTACTATTATGGACTGCTGGACTATATTGGATTACTTTGCTGAATTCATGCACCTACAGTATATGAACGGCAATGGAATACCCATCTCTGACAAAACAAAACAAAAAAAGGGAATACAAATGAAGGACCATTTTGTATCTGTATATGCAGAATAGTTGGGATAGCTATACAGCCACTCTCTTAATTCAATGAGAAGAAAGATTTGTACTAACAGTGTTTGGACAGGATATCGTGTCTGCATCTTATACTATGAATAACTACTATGAAGACAACAATATACAATGTATTAAAACTGTCCTAATCGATTTTGAAACTGTCTCATTGCTATTCGTTTCTCAATAAAATTAATTTAAAGAAAATAGGTCTTGATCATTGTGGAAAGCCCGGGGCGTGCCTCATCTTACCAAACGAGAAGCAAGCAAGGGCTCCAGGGCAGGGCCTGGAGAATCTGCGCTGGAGCTCCTCTCGTGCGCCATCCATTGGCCCCAGGTGTTTGACATGGATTTATGTGTGAGCTGGAATGTGCCTTTTGATGCCACTTGTCCCAGCAATATCATATAAGCCTCTAAGACAGAAGACGGCAAGCTCTTGCTAATCTACTGTGCACCCATTTACTTGTTCTGGTTTTGTCCTCTGCCAGTTAATATCGGCAGTGAGTCCCAGCACTACAGGACGACTCAGGAGAGCATCTGCTTCGTCTCTGGGGGACTGAACTGCGGACGGCAGGTGACAGGTCATTTTCTCCCTGCACCCTCCAGGGTTCACCTCGCTGTCATGGCAGTGAGCTCATATTGAAGAGCACTGTGCAGAAAGGCTCTTCTGACCAATGTGGTATGGCTGTGGACATCCACACCAGGGCCAGGCAAAGTCTACCCGACCTCCTGTTCAAAACTGTTGAGCTAAGAAGGCAACTATATTTTTAAATGACAGGTAAAACATCAAAAGAGGAATAAAGATGTAGAGCTTAAAGCTGCAGTTCCAGGGACCACAGGTGCAGGCCCATGCAGAGGAAGCCACCCCTGTTCCTCGTCCCCAGCCGCTCTCAGGCCACAGTGCAGAGCACCAGGGACCACAGGCCGCAGGCGCGGGAGATGCCCTCCTGCCCAAAGCAGCCTGCCGGTCTGCCATCTGGCCCGTCTCTGCCCGGGACTGAGGAAGTGAATGTTGCTTTGCTTTCCCGGCATGAGGCAAGCGTCTGGGCTTTCTTAGAAGTTTTCTTTCCTCTGAATTTCTTCATGAAGAAACTAATTCAGACTGTTTTCTGTATTTGTAACTGCTATACCAGAAGACGGGGCATTCAGGCCCTCTGAGGATCTTGTCTGCCTGTCACTCCCGTGAGAAGATAAATGTGAGCCTATGTGGACACCCATCAGCACCTCCCTAGCCCCAGGACACTTCCTTTTCACAAGGAGGAGAGAAGATCTAATTCCTCCTGCTGGGAATGACCCCGAGCCAAGGAGAACAGCTCCGGGAGAGGCGGCAAGTGACAGCTGGCCAGCTGGGTCCTTGGTGAACGCGAGCTGTGACGGCGCAGTGACCCAGTGCAAGCAGTTCCGTGGGACAGCTTCAGCCAGCTCTATCTTTGGGAAGAAAAGAGTGACGAACGTCTAGACAAGAATACTGTGAAGTTTTAATTTCATAGGAAGGATGTGATTATCAATAACCAAAGAATGGGAAGGTCAGCAATGGAATTCAGTCTTTTCAATCAAGCACACACGTACATTGTTCAACACTGTTGATGGCATGACAGGCGACACCCGTACAAGGCACCCTCTCATCCAGGGCAACACTGATTTAAATAGGTCTTGGCAGAGTGCCAAGGGAGGTTACAGGTGACAGTCGGTTTAATGAAGTGTTTAAGGCTTCAAAAATGTGCCTTTTAGAAAAATAACAAATACCACTTTTTCTACCACGGGCGGGGGAAGGAGAACAAATGCCGATTAAATCTGTCTGTTTAGCCTTTCAACATGTCGCTGGGTTTGCAAAGGCCAGACAGAAAACTACACTGAATTCTATAGCCAGAATGATACTGACAATTTTCCTCATAATACTCTTCCTGTCACTGTTCTTCAGCTCTTGGAATAAAAAGACAACCCATTGAAACCTAAAGGAGCAAGACAGCCCCTTCCCAAAATGGGACAGAGCTGACAACATTTACTTAATATCTAAAATTAGAAATAAGATAAATTCTTTAGTATCAACTACCTTTTCCGAGAGTTCATTAAAATTTAAGGCATTTTTGACATGTCAGAGATTTTGGCCCCGTGACAAGAGAAAGCAGCAGGCAGGGGCAGACCCCAATTACCTGGATGGCCTGGGACACACAGGTATGCACAGCAGGGGGGGCGGCGACAGGCAGGAGCTGCCAGCTCTGTCCGGGCGGCCACGCGCCTTGGAGCGGGCACTCGTCAGGTGTACTGCACTGTCTGCTTGAAGTTTTATCGAAGTGGGGAAAGACACTGATACCCTGGTCACAGGACAAAATGAGCAGTGCCACGTCCTGCCTCACAAAAGGCTGCAGAACTCTGTTGCTGAGTGGCATCCTCCTTGAGGCACATGGCAAAGAACAATGTGACAGACTTCATCCAGCTAACGGGCAACAGTAAAGACAGACATGAAGCGGACATCTGCTCCACAGTAGCAAAGGGTCAAGCCTGTCACCCACCACCAGACAAATAGCACACCACAGCAACAAGGGCAGCCCCACAGAACTGTGTGTTACAGGTCATACTTCACAGAAATGCCCAGACACGTTCATCAGGTGCCACCCGTGTGCCCTGCCACTGTGGCCAGCCACGAGCTGTTATAAAATCTGGGTAAAGATCTACAAAGATCACTGTTTATTGGAAACAACCAGGCCACCTTAGGTCAGCAATGCCAGGAGAATTCCCTTTTCCTTGGCTCTAAATAAAGTTTACACAAAATTAGTCAAATCCATCTTCAAACTTTTTTCAGTAAATGTCATATAGGGGCCGGGGAGATGGCTCAGTAGGATAAGCGCTTGACTGGCAAATGCAAGGATCTGAGTTCAATCCCCGGTTCTGGAAAAAAAAAAAAAAATGTCATATGAACACTAATAACCCATTTAAGACATCACAACTTCCTGGGTCACGCTGGAATGACACTTACTTCACAGGTCCTTTGGTACCTCCACATTCTCAACATGAACATAATTATATATCTTCCAAAACTGAACTCCTGCTTCATAGGTGTGAAAAGATCCCCCCCCCCACACCAGACCGTAACTCACAGTCTTGGAGCAGAAACCTGCTGTGCCTGGCTTGGGGAAGGGACCCCTGCCCTGCCTCTGGAGACCGCAGAGCCATTCCAGAGCCGACAGGGATGCTGTGCTGACGGCGCCCCGCACTCTCGTCAGGGTTGTGTGACTATTGGACCTGCAGGCTCGCCCCCCTCAGCCTCTGGCCCCCGCCGTGTCGAGCCCCCCTTCTGCATACTAGGTAAGCCAGGGCTTCTCACTGTCTTTTACATTTTTTAAATACTCCTTCCAGCTTTGGGGCAAACTCTTCTTGCGAATGCCAACAAGGATGGAGTTTCAAAGGTGGTTAGAAATAAATACCCCGCGCACGTGCCAATTCCCCTAAAATGTCACTGAGAAGTCTGTGAAATCAAGAGAAAATACCCTATAAACACGAAAGTTTATTGTCTTTCATTGACTAACATTTTTAATAGAAAAGATGATTTAAGGTCTGTTGGGAAAATAAATAATGGAAAAAATAATTATACCTTAGAAAATTTTTCTCATCTTTTCCAAAATATAAACAAACATAAACAAGATCTCAGGCCTGTGCTCGCCTCCGCACTGCAGAACACGCCCACTAATGGACAGGAGAGGGAAGGCCACCTGCTGGTCCCTGGCATGCACCTGGGCACAGGCCTGTGTGCCGCCGGGCACGCGGACGTACGGCAGCTCTTCCTGAGTGAAGCCTGCGTGCAGTCGAGGTCCCGCCATTTGCATTGCTTGGTTTGGCAAAGTCCTGGAGCGCTTGGGTAGGCAATCTGAGCTCTCAGCAGCACAGCCCATGAGGAAGCCCCATCAGAGCACAGTCCTAACCGTGGTCCTGCACAGCTGGGGAGTGGCTTTCGTGGACCACGTCTCTGAAGCCCACAGCATGACCACTTCACATATTGGGGCATCGTGAGGATTTCAGCTGAACAGATTCAAAATGTTCTTCCTTTTCCTAAAGAAAAATACCAAACACATAATCAACACAGTGGAATTCCAATAATATTTAGGATCCCAATAGCCCAGAAAGAAAGTTCATTTTAACCTATGCACCTGCCACTTGTCATTAAGACTCTACACTTACTAAAGTAAGCTGGCAGGTATAAAACAGGCAGCATGCCTGCCCTGAAGGACACTTGGATGTCCAAGGGATTAGACAGGCAGATCCAGGACAACACAGACTTGACCGCAGCAGACAGCACAGGGTGCCCACAACGCCCGTGACACAGCCTTCAGGCCCTTCCGGGCACACCGACCTTGGTGCCAAGCCAGTGACCTTGCCCTGCTGACTGTCGGCAAATGGAACTGACAGAAACTAAGTAATCTTGAGCCGATGCAGGCTGACAGAAGAGCGAGGACAGCAGGACGAAGCCACAGAACACCCGTGTGACACAAGATCAGCTGAGGCACGGGCATCTCAGGAAAGCCTTTAGGTCCATGCCTGCTCAGGATACTACAAGCCGCCTCAGGTCCTACATCCAAGTTTTAATTAAATATTCCATTTCTGCTGTTACAGAACACATTTAAAGTATAACCCACTAAATAAATTATTTTCCTTTAATGATAAAAATTAAACAGGAGGTGGGATTTATCCCAACATTTTAATTACTAAAGTCAGAAAAAAAAAATAAGGCTTCAGGGCTTCAGGAATGGGAATACAAGAGAGACTCAGGATTATTTCTAAAATAGAATAGCAAGAGCTGCCCTACTCAGTGTGGAAACACTTGTGTCTGCAGTGAGGCTCATGAGGAGAGGGAGCAGGCAGTGGTGTGGCCCGGCTGCAGTCCCAGAGCTAGGACAAGGCTCCCCAGCATGCAGCGGCGCCGACACCGGAGCTGCTCTGCTGCTGCGAGGACAGCCGCTGGGCCTCAGCTCTCCAGACAGCTCTACAAGAACCTGCCTGGAGCCTCCTGCTTGCAGCTGCAGCCAGCTGGAAACAACCACTGAGGACTTGGACATCACCGAGCGCAAGCTGCTGCAGGGCTAAGAAAATGGGCATCACAGATAGCTGCCCTCCTGGTGCAGGTAGCTTCTGAAAGGAAGGGCTTCCGGAGAGGCCTGTGGCAGTAGTCCCAGACTAGATGGTCAGAACTTGGGCTGCTGCACCACCGCCGTGCCCGCCCAGCAGTGAGGCGCTTCCACCCTCTGATGGCTGCACAGCCATCCCCCACGGGGCCCATGCTGTGCAGGCACATCCCTGCCCCGGGGCCCTCCTGTGGGCATCCCACTGCAGGAGCAGCTGCCCCAAGCCCCTGGGCCATGCGGGACAGTCGAGTGTACATGTGAGGTCTGTCCAGCAGCTGAGCCTGATGCCGCCCAGCAGACACTCACACAGGCCACTCCATCAGGCGTCCTTGAGCAGAGGCCCTTCACAGGCCATGTGCCGCCCCGTGGCCACACAAGCCTCAGGCCGATGCTGTACACAAAGGGTCTGTAATTGGTGATTGGCCAACAGGAGGCTCTGGCAGCAGGGGCAGCCTTGCTCCACAGCCCCCTCAGCTTCACGTCCCCCACACCCACCGGCGACAGCACTTCTAGAACTGCTGCGAGCTGTGGCCAAACTCCACACAGAACTCAGTCTCATTTCCACGCCGCACCTGGAGCCACGCCCGCAGCTGACCAGCAGGGCAGGAAGGGCCCACGAGCCTTGCTTGTGCACACATTTGAGCAGTGAGCTGTCACTGCCTCCGTGGCACCTCAGGCTCAGACTATGAACATGTCCTCCAGGAAATGGGCACCCCCAACTCTCCTGCACAAAACCAGTCAGTGGTGTCCTGGACGTCGAAGTCCCATGTGTGCACAGGCCTGCTGCGCTCTGTACTGGGGATCTGACGCGGTCCAAGCCCAGCTGCAGCACACACAACCAAAACCCACAGGACTTCCGTGCTCTGTGGGTAGAAGCTAAGGGTCCTCAGAGACAGCTCATCCTTTAGTAACACTCCTCGATGTTCACTGCCTTTGGAGCAATTACGTATGGCCCCTGTGGTCCGTGTGCCACTTGGAAAGCTACAGACTGGTACAGTGCAGTCACCATCATTGGGGCCAAGGGCCCTGGAAGCCCACTTAGCTTCTGTTCAAATCACGTACCCTAGTCGACTGCACAGCCACCCACAGGAAGCACCGCCTTGTGAAGGTCAGCACAGAATCGAGCTGCTGCAGAGGCTGCCAAGGCTGGCAGCCGCCCTGGAGGTGCACCGATGTCTCATCCCAGGCACAGAGCACTGGCTCTGTTCTCTGGTACAGACATTACCACTAAGAACCAGGGCTCATGCTGAAGCCTACCGGTCTTGCCCAAAGAAGCTGATGGCATCCTGCCTCTCAGCTCTGAGGTGGCTGCACTGACCAGCAAGCTCCAGCCTTGCCTGGTCCGTGCCGCAGAAGGTCTGCATGGCAACTGCAGCCTTACGGACGGTCTGAAGCTGACCAGCACTTCTGAGCACAAAGCCACCTAGAAACAGGCCCAGAGTAGAAACACTCAAGAGAACCTCCTGCACCTCCTGTCCTCCAGGGGCCTCTCAGAAAGTGACTCATGATGGCCCTGACCATTTCCCTTGCCACTTCCTGCTGTACACTACTTAAGAGCGGCAATGTGCCACCAAGCAGGGCTCTCCATAGAGGGGAAGCATCTCTTCTTGGCCTGCTTGTGGAGAACCACAAGAAAGGGACACACACAGATGGATGGACAGACAGAAGGATGGGGACACACACACACACTGCACAAACACCTTGTCTGAAAGTCTGGGATGCTGCCTGACCAGTCCTGGGAAAGAAATGTCCTTATTTCCTCTATTTCCTCCAAGAGCAACCCCCGGGCTGCCTGGGTACAACCTCGAGTGACAGCCAAGCTGGGAAGCTCAAATGCAATTCCAGTTCAACCCTCACCCATACTTCTGCCCAGCCAGAGCACTACACTCAGCACACACCCTCCAATGGCCCAGTGAACCGCAGTGGGCACACACCGGGTCTCCACGACACTTTAGAATGTTGCTGTCCCTCTCGCACCTGTGCATTTGGAAGAACAGATCTAGGTCCCTCTGAGGGAGGAGGAGAAGGTGACACTACAGTGCCTGGAATGGGGGGTCAGCAGCCACCACCAAGGCCCGTGGGCAGTAGCACCTCAGATGCAGACATGCAGGGAGAAGGCATGTCGGTGACCATTTGACTTTCACAGTCACCCTATCACTGTACCCTGGCGTGGCTCCCAAACTGGCGGAAATGCCTTTGACTGCTACGTCTGCCTGTCCCTCAACATGCCCCCATCACTCTGGCTGCTGCGTGCTCAATCTGACTGAGGAATCCAGGCGCACCAGGAGATGGCCCTGCTCCTGCCCACAATGAAGTCAGCTAACACCTCCACGCTTCACCCAGTCACCCGGGGCACAGCTATCACCCCTCCCCGCCGGTGGCATGGACAAGTAGAGAAAAGTGGAAACAACTCTCCTCAGGCAGTGTCCTCACGGACAAAGGAGAGATGATTACTTGAGATGAATTAAAACCTGACATTAACAGCCACCAAGGAGACCACCCGTGCCACATGCCACGTATCTGTAAGCTTTCCTTCCAGAGCCTCGTGTCCACCTCCCAGGCATATTCCTATGGAGACACCAGCATCAGCTGGGTTCTCTCCAATGTGTCCTCTGTGCCTGATCTTCTACAGAACTGCCCTGACCACAGAACAAAGGATGAGGGCCCAAGTGCAGGACGGTGCTCCACACGGCTCCTGACAGCAGCCCACAAAGACAGAACCAGGGAGCTTGCTGGAGCTCACTCGCTTTTAAAGATTTCCATGCCTTTTCCACCCGCATCTTCTAGAAAAGCATCTCGGTGCCCACGTGAGGGCCTTGGGCATGAAGAGAATGCTGGCCGGCTTTCTAGAGCAGCCCGCCAGCTAATGTCCTTGCTTCAGCTAGCTGTGTGGGACCCTGCAGGTGGCGGAGGGAAGTAACGCAGCCCGCCTCCCCCTCCTGCTGAAGTCTCATCGGCACTGGCTTTATTTCTACTTAAACTCTGCATAAAGCAAATGGTGTGAACCCAGCCTCTTCCAGTCTCCTTCATCAGCGCTGGGTGGATTAATGCAGTGCGGGCAAACTTCACTAGGAACCAGCATGGCAGAGAACTCAGGACACTGGGGAGATAATTCTCCACGGTTTTCTGACATTTCTACACAGCTTTCGAATGAGACACTGATTTCCTTTTGCTCCAGACTACTTCTTACAGAATGCTGCATAAAATTCAGCCTTAGAAGATAAAGATACAGCCCCTTTCCAAAGCAAAGGGAGGCTTGCTTACACCCCCGCTGAAGCGATGGACAGGCAAGCTGCCCATCTAATACAGAAAGATACTTCCTCCTTTTAAAGCCAGGATGGGCTAAGAATTAAAAAAAAGAGGGGATAACTTCACATTGGTTCTGAAAATTCAGACTTCCAAAGCTTACAGTTCCTTTCTGGTCATGCAGCCACGTGTGACCATTTTCTCTGCATGTGGCTTGGAGGGAACTGGGACTTGGGCAGCAGGGGTAGGTCTGGCTGCTCTGCTTAGGGCGTCCGGGAGTACGACACTGTCCTTTGTCTCTGGCCAGGAGTCCCACACCTTCTAAAGCACTCAAGAAACCGTGGCAGTCTCAACTGTGAGCTGCCAAGTTGGGTGCAACTTTCCGCTCTGAGCAATCATCGCATGTACTATTACACCACGTCAGCACCCTTCCCGAAGTCGATATTAACAGACAAAACTAACTGCTAGTAGAAGGGCAGGACAGTTTAGTTTATTCCTAAACAGTGTCCTGTAACACAGGTGAGTGCCAAGTTAGGAAGGCAGGGGAAAGGCGGCCTATGCATTCTCCACAGTGGAAGCGTTCGTCACGTCTCCGTCCTGCTGGAAGTCACCTGGCAGGCAGCCCTTTCCTCGTGCCATGCTTATTTTTAATCATGAATGGATAAGCTGGTAATTTACAGCTTTTAAGTTAATAGTAGAGGATGTCAAGAAAACAGGACGTTGTGAAACAAGGTTTCACAGGACGTTGGGTACAGTAGTCATTCTAAAGCCAAAAAACGTGAATCCATCTGATGTGCTACCTCAAGTATCACACTAGTTCATTAAATTTTATTTTCTCTATGCAAAATGGTCTTGTAAAATAAACACCAAAGTATGGGTGTATGTCAGATATTTAAATTGCTTCTCCTTAAAGTATCTGCATAAAAACCCAGTTACCACAAAGCTGTATTGCTTGGAAGGGTCGCCCCTCTCTGCAGCTCCCACAACGCAGCTGCCAAGTCAACAGTGCAAATGCCAACGAGCATCGAGCACACACACTCCGAGAGACCTGACCTCTGCTCTCACTGCGCTACGGCCCCAGGCGACAGCAGCCCCGCAGACACGCCGCGTTCAGCAGCTGTGGCCACACAGTCCATCGCTTGTACATACAGAAAGTCCTCACTTTGCATTGTATCAGCGGTGCCTAACTCGTTTCTGCTTTGTTAACCAGTAAAAATGCTGCTGCACGGAGTGTCCTGCGCTTGCACCACGTGGCTCTCAGCGTCTTTCTGTTGGGCGGACAGCCCTGAGACACAGACCGCGGACGGGCAGGGACTGTATGCATGCCCTAGGTTAACACAGCCTGATTTATGAACATTTAGCAATCCATGTTAAGATCCTGTTCCCACCTTTGTTGCAAAGGATTTGAGCTTTCCCAGGAGCGACTGTTTATTGGAATACACAACTTCTTCCTCATTGTCTTCCCCTTCCATGATGGCGCAGCTGTCTGCAGCTGGGAGCTCGCCCTCCTTCGAGTTTGTTGTCATCACTAGCTTGGAATATTTGTACTCCAATCTAAATCATGGTAAACAGAGTAAATAATAATAAATAAGGTGTGCACTTATACAAATCAGGCAATGCCAGCTGACTAAACTGTCTTCTCATAATGTAGATGCTCTACCAATTGAAGACCAATTCTGTGTTCCTGATTACCAATCGCCCAGATGGAAATATTTCCTAACACGTCAGAGAATCTGTTCAATAGTTAGTCCATTTTACATTAAATTGTCCAATTATTAAAGATATTTGCACTTTCCTTATGTGGATGCTGATCCACTATCACATTTTCTAAAGTTCAATTCATAAGGACGAACATATTCAACAGGCAAGTATACTTAACTTTCTACCTCAGATATGACAATCATGCTAGATAGAATATACATTTTCCACAGCACTCTGAGATGCAAATCATTACAAAAGATTCAAACACGTTTCAGATGAATGCATGTTCAGGGGTTGGACTCAATATTCAATCCCAAATTCTTGGAGAAGTGAAGTAAATGTGATATTTGTTTATTCATTTAATCTATTTCTTTGCAAGTATCTGCCCATACAAATTTGAAAAGAAAAAGTGGAACAAGAAAACATCATGGTGTTATAAAAAGAAACACCAGAGAAATCCTGCCTTCCAGTCTCAGCTCTCTGCCATCTACTGGCAACCTGGAACGTCCGTGTCTCTGTGTGTGGTGACAAATGAATCTATGCTCAGTGACCTCTGGCGTTCTGTGATTGTCACCAGAATGACGACCACATCCGCAGCAGCTTTCTCAGGGGCCTCTCCTATAACTCCTCCACCAGGAGGTGGCCCAGCAGCTGACAGGACCTACGGGACAAAATGCTTCACAACGCAAATGAGCCTTCCAGTCCTTCAAGACCAATCTGGCACAGTTACTCACTTTTGATTCTTTTTCCAGAAGTAGCATGTGAGGGCCACCAGCAAAACGGCAGTGAAAGCTCCCACACCAGCTCCCACTTTCAGCCAAAAGTCGATAGTTTCACAGGCCGACAGCTTTTTCTCAGGCAAAGAAATTCCTTTAATGCACCATTTGGGTTCATTCCACACATACAAGGTTTCCTTTGAAAACAAGCAAGTAGAACCACAGATGATATGAGAAATGAGTCACAGTCAGTGGTCAAACCTGACCCACCTGAGGGTCACGTCTCGCCAGAGGAAGAGTCTGCCGACCCTCCCCTCACAGTGGACACTGAGGACGGTGCTGCTTTCCCTCAAGAGCTGCTCCAGCAAGAGAAGACAGAGATGAGAACGGACAGGAGAGAGGACGTGAACGTGCGTGCAGCTGAGACGCGGGTGTCACATGGGAGGCCCTCAGCCCGTCTGAGGCGGCTGTGGGGGCCGAATTAAAAGGGGCTCCATGCGCATACATCTCTGGAGCCTGTTTTCCTCAAATTTATCAACACCTGACTTGTTAATTATGACTTCCCGTGAAAGCTCAGGTTGCTTGCTACTGTAAATCAGAATGGATTCCTGGCCCCTCGCACACACCCACAGCCCCACCTCGCCCTCCAGTAGCACAGCAACTGCCTCAGCCTCAGGGAGCCGGGCCCTGCCGTGGCCAGCATGGGTGGCAGGCATGCCGACAGACACACAGCCTATCCCCGCTGCTCCAGGACGAGCGGGCTGTGTCTGGGTCACACTGCCCCCTGGGCCGGCCACCTCCCACAGCAGGTGTCTCAGTTCTTCCAAGGCAGTGTCCACAAGTAGCAAGGCACAGCTAAGCAAGAAATGCCACAGTCAAGACAATAGGCCAAAGAGAGAAATTAAAGAAAACTGAAGGGATCAAATAGTAGATCAGAAATGAAAATCAGAATTCAGTTGCAGTTCTTTATACATTTCAAAATATACAGCAACCAGTAGCAGTGTGAATATATATATATATAAATTTGAGGAAAACAGGCTCCAGAGATGTATGCGCATGGAGCCCCTTTTAATTCGGCCCCCACAGCCGCCTCAGACGGGCTGAGGGCCTCCCATGTGACACCCGCGTCTCAGCTGCACGCACGTTCACGTCCTCTCT